AGTCAATGAGGGAAAGTCGGATCCCAGGCCTATATACCATAGTAGTCCTAGTCTGTACTGACCACAGTCCACCTGTTGGCAATGTGACTATTATTTTGGAAACCAAAACAACCCTGGAATAGCACTCGGTGGAGGAATATATATATTTACACTACAACACCGTCACAAATATGACAAAACCACATGTTCCCAATAGTGTTGAGCGGTGTCTAACTCGATTCCAAGTGGGGGTTCATCAGTGTAAGCCCCAAGTCCTTCATTGACTTTTATCACGAACTTTACCTTAGTTGACAACACTGCTATATTTTGTCTGAGAGTATCGAAGGCTTCAAGTAAAATACCCCCAATAGTTCTGACATTATTTATTGTACTAACAGAATAACAGCCTGTACGAAATATATATTATCTGTGGCGATCCACCTAATATATACTGTAGGTCTGTCCTCTCCAGTCCGCCCTTTGCTTGCCCAGATTGCCTAATCTAGTATGTACGGCCCCCAGCCCCCCAGTCCGGTTTGGCCGGTTACGAATACCGTAACCAGCTATCACTCAACCTCCGAGTGATAATTTATGTTCCTGCCTCGATCGTGTAACATGGCCATATGCGTACACGGATAGCCTACCATATTCCGTCGCGCAACACGCCATATAGCATGCAGGGTTAAGAAAATTGACAGATTGAAATTCGGTTAAGGGTGCAACTGTGGCTAGTATTTGGACGCACAATATGACTAAATGCGGTAAGCTCTGGTTACATCGAGCGAGACACGATCTAAATGAAAATTTACCCTCTCATACGCTGTGGCATTTATAGTGGGGACCGAAAGACTTGACTTGAAAGTGCCTTTCAAGAAAGGATAACTCAGAAGCTTCCATCAGACTAAGACCCCACTTGTATGGTATTGACCATACACATACCTTACCCACTCGGTTCTCTGATCCATCATAGGCGAATCATTTCCTACATCTCTCACGTACAGCAGTTGGATACTTTCCGCTTACATACCGGCAGAGATCCACATCCGATCGATAACCCCCGCCCCAATCCCGACCGATATTGTGTCACGCAAGTAAACGGTAGTAGCGATTTGGTCAAGATCTAGGCTCCTACCCCTACTCCCGATTCCCCGAACCCACCCTATTGGTGCCTGACGAATCACTTTTCCATTTCGCAAGAAGCTCAAACCTTAGACAAATGCAGAATCTTCTCCTCACCTTCTTCCAATCATTTACACAGGTTTCGAATAAATACGCAGGAAACTTAGAGGCCCTAAAACTGGCCAATGAGTTGGTACTTAATGGAGACGGGGCTAAAATAAAAAGAAAAAAGAGGAGGCTGAATCACGATTCCCTGATTCATTGTGCGCGTGGGGACCGGAAGGCGCAAGTAGAGTAAACCCAGAGATCAAGAATACAACCCCCCGATTTCTGCTCGCGTCTCCTTGCTCTAGCCCTTCCAGTGTGGTTGAATATCTGCGGGGATATTCAGACACTCAACACAGTCCGTGTCCGTGGCTTCTGCATTGGTCTCCTCGGAAAGAGGGAATTCCGTGGCACTTTTTCCAAAAGATCGAGTTTGTCGAACAACCACTAAGCATTGCGGATATAACTACTGGAGAGCCACTTCCAGGCCTGAAACTCTTGGGCAAGGCTGGCAAATTCATCCATAGCAAGGCTGCCGGAATCGTGGAAGTCTAGAGAATAATCCCTTAACTGATTGTAATGCACTTCCAGTGCCATCAATCACCCAGACACCATCATGATATTAATCTCGAACTACTTCTTCACCCTTTCTGCACAATCCTGCCTTAATTGAAGGCAGACGATTTGATAGCACGACATGTCTGAGGTCGGGAGAAGGTCAGTGCTTAGGAATAACCACTCTGGAGCTGATAGAGAGTGGTCATGTTCGACAGGCCCAGACAGGGCAAGAATGCAATGGGAACTTATCAGAGTGTGCAGTAGAAATATATCCGTGGAAAACCCAGCTTTTCTGAATACTACCCCTAAAGAACCCGTACTCACAGAGTGACTAAATTCCGGGGATCTAATAGCCCATATCTTAACGAAGTCCCCTTTGCTTGATCAACGGGGTGTGTATGACCCACATGAATATCGTGTTTTCGTGAGGGATTATCTATGGATAGGCTTAGACTAGAGATTTCGAGGTTCTTCTATACTACGAAATCGTACTACAAGGTGACACGTCGCCACGACGATAATTCCTCAAGGCGAAAAAAAAACCATTGAAAAAAATGTATCCTACATCAAATGAAAGGGGTTGCCAAAGATCGTGAACTCGAGTCCTTCTGTCATAGATACCAGCAGCACGAATAAGATCAAAACTTGAGGAGTACCCCTTCAGCCAAACAATTCGCCATTTCCAACCCGACGCCTTCTCCTCCATCCTCCCAATCCCTACCAGGATAGTACAGTCTAGCTTGTAATACTTTTCATGATGTGTACAACCCCACGTTCTACACCGCGGAGGACTACCCGGAGAATGTAGCGTACAAACCCCCGTGTAACAACCCTCCTATCAAGCCGCGAAACCATCACTCTATCCTACGAGCCTCAGGACCTCACCCACCAAACCGAAAAAAACAAACAAAGGAGTCCAAAATATCCATCATGGCACGGAAACACCGGGTAAGCTCAATCCGTACAAGTTCAGATGGCAACGATTCCGCTAAACACGACTGAGGAAAACTCCGGGGCACTAACTACCTAAACTCAAAACAAGTGAGATTCTCCATACTCACGGTATCGCTCAAGATCCTAATTCAGAAAAACTTCTGAAGTGAATCACTCGCAATCCCTCCAAAGGTAGTTAAATTGCACCGTAAACAAGCTAGGCATTCTTCGCGGAGAACAAAAGAAAAAAGAATGTGTATGGTTGTACTGTACATAGCGATGTAAATTTAGCAGGCGAACCCACACATCCTATTGTTTTTGGAGGAAGGGAAGAGAGTACTTGGGCCGGCGAACCACTATCACCAGAATATCCTTATGGGAGGGGGGGTTTTTTTTTAAAAAAAAAAAAGACTCAACTACATACTCCATGTGCAACGTCGAACAAAAGTGGTGATCAGCGTAGAGTCCACTAAATCCAAAGGGGAGGGTGTAAGTTAACCTAATCGTATATCACATTAGTGTAATGACAGTAACCTCCCTTTGTTTCATTTCCAGTATCATCTTCCGAACCGCGCAAATCAGCGGATGTGCATGAGTTACGCTGATACAAGTGCTTCTGACCGCAGCGAGGAGCTTCCTATAGAGAAGAATAGTCCATCTCGAGGGCACGATAATCTCACCCCCCCCCCCTTCTCCTTCGTAGACAAAAACATCCAGTGACATAGATGCCCCTACAAAATGTGCAGGGTGAACATGAATTCTTTTTTTGATTTTTCTAAACTGGAGGGAAAAAAAAAAATTGTGGTGGCCTGTGATTGGTCCACTAGCCGATTTTTTCCATGTATTTGGAATGGGGATACTAAGTGATGGGATCATGGCATAAAAATAATGCCCTCCCCAGGTATCTGATAGTCTCCCAAATCTACAGCTCCCTTTCAAACAAGGTTAAAAAAAATATATTGAGTAGTTAACCGATTATCTCGAATCAGAAATACAGCCGGGACGCGTGCATGACCTTAGCGCTCTGAAAAAGCCCCAAGGACCAAACCGTGCTAGCACACTTTCAGTTAAAGCGCCGTAGCATGATATGTGCATAAAAAACGAAAAGAGACAGCTACCCCTTGGATGTGATCATAGGCTATCACTCAGGCCTTACGCTACCAACTTACTACTTAACCCACCACACCTCACTCGGATACTCCCGACCCCTAACCCACGAGATCCTCCTCTTGTTCAAACTATCATAATATTATCATATCATAGATTCCAACCCGGGCCACCCGCCATGCAAGCCCTAACTATAGTGCATTAGTGCAAGGATGTGCATGCGGAACTAGCAGATCATGTCACCAACTTGAACCCCCCGAAGAAGAGGGGCGAGAAAAGGAAATCACTTCTTATGTGCAACAGGGTTTGCTCAATCCCGGCCCCGTTATTCCAAAGAGGGCCAAAAGGATGGGCTTGAGGATGCAGCAAGGTACGTTCACCATACAAGACTAAGTAGCGTTCGCGAATAGCTGCATATTTATCAGATATTTTATCTTTAGAATTTCCTTTCAAACCCTACAAAACAAAACAAAGGAGTAAACGTGTAACGAAGGAAGAAGAAAAAAACACATAACAGCCGTCGGTAATAAAGAATGCCCCCAGGAGGAATACACGCTAAAAGTATAGATGAGTGTTAGGAAAAAAACAACGTAAAAACAGTACGTCAAAAAAAATGCCACGCTCCCCAAAGTATAGATATTTTATACCATTTTCCTTTTCACCCCCTCCAGGAATGCCTTTTCTATCCATCCTTACGCCACTCCAGCTTTCTTCCCCGACTCCAGAAACACGGTAACACAAGTAATGAGAGGGTAGAGAAGAAAAAAATCAGTTCAATCGTAACCACGGAAAATGGGAAGAAAAAAGACCCCCCTATTGTAAACCTGGTGTTAGCAAAAACAGAAGAACCTGAAAAACCGAACCATTTTCCTCCTTGCCCAATCTAATACCCTCAAATCCCAGACCGCGCGCCTAATCCGAACCAGCAAATGATCCTTCCGGGAAGTGAAGTGCATGAAATGTGCGAGAAGCAAAATGAAAATCGAAGGAGAAAAAACGCCCACGAAAAAGGATACGAATAGCCACCATCAGCCAGCGCAACCAGCCAACCCGCAAAAAAACGAAAAGAAAAAAAGATGCCTCCGAAAGTAAACTTGTCCCACCCCCAAAGCGAGAGATAGCGGGCAAAATAGGTCAACGGCAATACACAAAAGAGGGGGGGTAGTAGAGTAGCAATAGTCAGGGTTGTGTAGTTGTAATAGTGGTAGTGTGAGAATGGGGTGAAAAAAAAAAGATGTCAATTTTCCTGTCTCCTTCAGTTAATTCCAGCAATACGGATTGCAATTGCAAACAGACGGCTGTGAGAAGAGGGCTATCAATTTCTTCAATGCGAACTCGGCGGCATCTTCCCTCGCATTTCGGGCGTAAGGGCCATCGTAGTAAAACCGAGCTCTGCATAGTAGGATCGTTACAGACGGAGTCGCTAAGGTCACTTGGGATGTCCAGGCTGTTCGTCCGCCTAAAGTGGAAAGCCAGAGTTTTAGCAAAAAAAATTCCTTCCTCTCGCCCTTGCTCTCGTTCTCTTCGGGGCTCTTTTGATTTGTGTGTAGTGTGCATGGATGCAGGCGTGTGATCTTCCCAGGATACATCCCCCCACCACGATAGCGCCACCTGCTCACTTAATCGCCAACTGCCCTTGCCCCCCACGTTGGCTTTTCCCTTCTTTCCTCCTCCCTGGTCCGCTTTCCTTTTTAAGCGGCTTCGTTGGGTTGTACTTTTGTGGCCCGCCGGGCATTTTGAATTGGGACTGGGCTGGGTAATAGGAACTGAGGGCTAGGGTTGCGGATATTCATTGGGTTGGATGGAATTGGGTGTTGTTTACCTCTTCTGTCCGAAAAGTCTTGGTATGATGGCTCCTCAATCTGGTGCTCTTTGCAAAACTCTGTGAAAAGTAGGCAGGCAATCGTTAGCTTTTCGTTGCGACTTGCTCCCGAGCTTCATGGTAATTCGCGTGCGGCTTACCCACAAGAAGACGCTGCCAGCAGATGGGTAGCTCCTGTGTTGTGAGGTTATACACGGCGGAGAAAGGACAATTTGGCAAAGTCGGTAAAGGATCTGTCGAAACGTCTACGATTCCAGTAAGAGCAGCATCTTTCTGACTAATTGTTGTGAGGGTGTCTGAAGTAGTAGTACTCATAGTGGCCGTTGTAATTCCGGGTGACAGTAGTGAACAGTAGGTGACAGTGGTGTTAAAGTACCGTGGAAAGACCTGTTGAAGAAAGAGGGGGAGGTAGCGTAGTCTTTATCTCCAAAGGAAGCTAGTTTCGGGCGACAGGATACCAGGAGGAAGCAGTGGGTTCGCAATGGGTGCTCCAAGGGTATTGCTGCGCTACTATGGGGAGACTCCAATTCCGCGTCGAGATCGCCATGTAACATACTTATAATTTAATTCTCCGGGGGGAACGTTGGGGCTGAAAGGAGTCAAGCCCGAGGGAAAAAAAGAGAGCCCACAGTAAATCATGCGTGATGAAGTCGACGAGACCGCTCCGGTCCAGGACGCCAGTTCCGGCGGGGGTGTGCATCCTGCAGCCAGGGGCCACTGAGCTGTAAACCACGGTGAACCGCAGTGGTTGTTGGCTCCTAGACTGTTCGACGGAAGCTTCCATTGACAGGGTTGGTCCCTTTTTCAAAACCAAAAAGTGTGAAAATGCCGAGCTCATTGCTGTAGAGATTCCCCGAACGCAATACAGCGGGAATTGAGGCAAAGGGGGGGGTGAGGAAAAATAAAATAAAAAAATTGGAAAGTGAGAAACTAAGATAGAGAGAGCAGACCATGTATTGCTGTGCTGTTCTTTTCCCCGGTGTTCGTCGTTTGCTAATTCTAGATGCCAGCTCACACAGTACTCACGGGGGTTTGATGGCTTCTGGTTACGAGAGGCCCGTCTGACCAAGGTAGCTTGTGGAGACCTGCCACCACGTCCTCCAATACTTCCTGGTCGGAAGATACGACACCCGTAAACTAGGAGCCATTTTAGGGATAAACAAAGCGAATTGGGTAAAGGGAAAAAATAAAAGATCATACAAACTGCCGTGCTTTTCAGCAACCAGCCCTTACAAAAAAGGCAAGGATGGAAGGTATTTGGGAGTTAAAAACACGGAAGAAGAAAAGGTATGATACCGCACAGGCTAGTGCGCAGAAACAATTCGAAAATTAACCTCGAGGGAGGATAACCAAGTGACGGAGGTGGGAGGGTGAGGTAACGCCCAGTGTCTGAGGGCAAAGTGTGTGGAATGGATGAGCAGGTAGGAGTATGCATGCAGTCGCCTAGGCCAAGGGGTAAAGGAATAGGTTGCCTTGAAGGATTAACGGTGCATCCTAATGATTGATTCCTGATGCGCAAGAACACATCCCAATTGAAGTGGCCGATGATTGGATATCAACCCACCAATATTTCGCCGGCACCCCCAGCAAGGTCGCTGAGCACCGGTACTATGATTCGCCCTGATCGTCTAATCCTCGCTTTTCCACTATTTTGGGCCCCGGCTATCAGCAGGGAGACCAGGGAAACCACTAAATACAATTGGCTCGCTGATACCTTTTTTCCTTGCTTATTTTTTGCGGTTAACAAAAAAGACTCGGTCCGTTTTTCGATGCTCCGCGTTGCTAGTGACCCTTCCTCCCACCCAGCACAGATACGGAAGGATTCGCGGTATTCCGCCATGGTACTACCAGTTGGCTACAGTACCGGTAACTTGAGCAAACCATAATCCACACTTCTAAATAGATCCCCATTTTCCGCACTTGAGTGGTGTGCGGTTGAAGATAATCCTAGGACCATGGGATTGAGCTACCCGCAGCCACTATAGCGCTCGAGCAGAGCTACTACCGGTAGTACATTTGGTTAGAACATAAAGCCATGAAACATTTCTAAGGTCGCCCAGCTCGAGTCAGAACCCGAAACCTGCTACATATATCATGCCTCTCGAACATAGCTGTAAGCATCATAGGTCCCGATTGCGCCAGCTAACAAGGAAAATAAGAAAAGAAAGAAAGGAAAAAAAAAACACTCACGGACCTACACAGGGATACATACCTGAACCAGATCATAAGATCCCCAAGCCAGTAACAGTCATGTACCGTACTAGTACAGTTCTTAATGCCCTCTTTTTTTTTTTTTTTCTTCCTCTCCACCTTCGTTCCATCGTCCCTAATTCACGACTATTTCCATCCCTATAACGATAAGTCCTATAGCCCATCCTGCCCTCCTGCCCCTGCCCCCCTCGAGTGTGCACGTACGGTATGTTACCCGCTGATACTCTAAGCACTAGCTGGCGGCGGATAGCTACGTACCGGTACCTAAATGACGGAGGTATCATTCTTTTGATCCCCATTCGATTTCTTTGTTCCTCTCCCGTCTAGTGTTAGTCTAACTTATCCCGAAAATTGTCCCACACTAGTTACCTGAGATCTCCTGCTAGAAAAATGTGGGGGATTTCGCATGACAGCTACTTGTCCTGGTTTGGTGGGTGGGACCTGACTTGGAGGGCAGCAGCAGATCTCCCTCCCCTGAATCACTCGCCAACTTCCTCACTCGCACTCGCTCGTCTAGTCAATCAACCAATTAACAAATAATCTCTCCTCGACTAATAACACCACCTATCTTTATCCTGTTAGCTTATCCCTCTCCGATAGGATCTCAATTACCGTATTCTATTTTACTTTGTTTACCCATTCCCCGGACCTCTTCCCCCCACCCTGCGTCCCCACCTCACCCGCCTCTAGAGGCCGCACGGCAGTTACCAAGCGTTTTGAGAAAATGATAAAAATAAAAGTAAAAACAACCCGAATCGCAAGGAGCGGGCGATTTGCCGGATGAATCCGAGATCCTGGATTCGACCGCATGCAGGAGTTAAATGATTCGTCTCCTGACCGCCGTTTCTCATTTGGCCAGTATCCTTTTTTTCTTTTTCTTTTCCTTCAAACAATACAATCGTCACTTAGTCTACCGATAAATTATTTGATTCCTTTTTCGATTTTTTTCGATTTTTCCGATTTCTCCTATTTTTTTCCCCCCTTTTACCATAACGGCGGGATTCTCCTCTCGGCCTTTTCGCGCTCAATCTCCACAATGCGCACGGTGGTGGGTTTTCATCTTCAATAAGTTGTCTTCCCGGCCAGCGAGTTGGTCGATCCCTGGCAGCGACTGGGAGCACGGTGAGGTCCGTAACTGGAGCACTCTGCAAACAAATATTTACCAACTTCAACTACCAAAGGATTTTCAACCACCTCTCCTATGAGAATTACGGCTCTGATAGAGCGGAAGATCTTCCACATATTGATAGAGAGAAGAGAGAAATATCTCAAGCTTTCATAGTATAGATGTCTTCCCTTAGCAATAACTGTTAGCAGGCATTTCTCGAGGTATTAACCGTTAATGAGGCCATTATTTGTCATGTCAACACACTACTACCATGCCAGAGCGAATGTCCCCAGATCCGGTTACAGAGTTCCCTCACCATATGAATTCAGGAGGTAGTCGTTGTCGCGGTTGTCGGAGATGGTTCCTGCCAGGCCAGCAGAGGTCCCCCCATAAGTGCACAAGAGTGATAAGAGCAGGGTGCCCACTCTCCCACGCTCCAGTTTATGCCACACTCCCCTTCACGCACTACGTCAATACAATACAACTGTGCTAGAAAATGTTAAAACAACCAAGATAATAACCAAAAATTTCAATTAATCCTCTGACGCCGTCACCCATGTATAACCTTAACTGTAACGTTAGCGTTAGAGAACACGTAGAACAAAAGGGACTAATCAACCCCATGTACTTCCCAACTCACATTCCTCCCTCCATGGGCTTATTTATCGTACGGTTACAAATTTATAAAGGAAACTCTTTGTCTATAGTTTTTTGTGTAACACAACTCATTGGCACAAAGACTTTTGAAGTCCGGACGGTAACCAGACTCTAGTGACTAAAACTATGGTAACTCCTCCCTTAGCAATAGGGAACCTAGCTGCGAGTACTATGCAGTATCATAATTTAACTCTTCAGCGTAAGAAGACTACAAATGTCCCGCTGAGTCCGTGTCCAAGGTTAAAAAGGAATCCCCAATCCCTCAACAAAAAAGTGCAGAACAGCACTCCTATCGTCACGGACCGCTCTGACAAAAAAAAAATGAAAGCCGCAAAAAAAAAAGGCAACCTGATAACTTGTTTAAGATGCTTAACCCGCAGTTTTGATACCGCCCACCCGGATTCACTGCTAGAGTACAGGTGGACCCTTTGTAACCACGTGTCAGACAGATTTAACCTAGCGAACGAGTTTTTTCTTTTCTTTTCTTTTCTTTTCTTTTCTTTCTGGAATTAGCGGAGCTTCCGAAATAAAAATAATAAAAAATCAAGAGCTCGCCTTAGCTCTGTGAGAACTGTCCCCTAGCGGGTACTAGCGGGTACGCAGGCAGAGTACTGTACTGTACTAGTACACTTCTCTTGCAGGTAAGTTAGAGTTGATATCAAATTCGCGAGGGAGGGGGGAGGGAAGGAGGGGAGGGACTCCCTTCGCTGGTAGCGTACCGAACTGTACTGTACTTGTACATTACTCGTACGACAAGATAAGTTTGAGATATCATGACATGCTTGCTTCGAGTTGCTTGCCAGCCATCAAGGCTCGAACCTTTCGATCAAATCCACCCGGGCTCAGGGCTCCATTACCACTGGTGGTGGTGCCTGGCTAGCAGGTGTGATAACTCCTTGGGGAAAACACCACAAAATAATACGCGCCGCACTATTAG